AGAGGAGGAAGGCATATAAATGGCAGAGTGACAAGCTACACCTCCAGCCATCTTGCTGCCGAGGGCGACCATCCGTCCTCCCACATCACTCACCCTCCTGACGTCTTGTCAACCCACGTCGCTGTTTTTTGGGCTTCTTTTTCTACTTCTTCTCTCATTTGCGACTAGTACAAGACCTCGGTGATACATTTCAAGTTTACGACATGTCAGACGTCAAGAAAAAATCAGATTCAAGAAACCATAAACTTTATGCCAACATAAAAGGGTATTCAGCTGTAAATATGACCCATAAAGGCCCTTTTAAAAACAAATAAACCAAAGTGAGATATGTAAATGAAATTGGTAAAATATGAAACAGTCAATCCAATCAATATCAATCCCCACATATATAACTGAATAAAAAACAACTCCCAAAACGGGTTTTCCCTGTCGTCGAAAAGAAATTGTCCTTTTAAAAAATGAAATGAAGCTCAATGCCTTTTCGACAACTGAATAAACGAGGCACTGCCGGCGGACGGACAGAGTTATGCCTATGTAGAAAAGGGAGGCATGAAATAAAATTTTATTCACTTTGAGATGATAAAATAAGAACAATATCTCCTTTTACAGAGTGTATTCTTCTTTCCATTTTTGTTGTTGTTATTTGAGGTACACAATGTTTTTTTTTTCCCATATAAAGACTATCAGTAAGACAAATATACACCTCGTATGTTATACGGGTGAGTCAAGAGACATGCATCGGAGGCGCTAGTTATTTCTAGGATGTTCATACTATTAGCTCTTCCCCTTTATTTTCTCTCTCTCTCTCTTTCTCTTTCTCTCTTTCTCTCTTTCTCTTTCTCTCTCTCTTTCTCTCTCTCTCTCTCTTTCTTCATAACATAAAAATGTACAGAGACACTATATACATACTATATACACATACGTATATGCAGACTGTATATTTATAAGCATATATATTCGCCAATCATTCGTTCGTTTGTCCCTCTCTCCCTCCCTAGTTCCCTCTCCTCCACTTCCTCCCATTCGGTCAAGGTATCCATCCCTCTCCCCTACCCTTCCCATGCACCAATTTAGCCCCTGGATGCTATGTGCGGTCAGGGTAAGGTAGGGTGGGGTGGGGTGAGGTAGGGTTGGTGGGGGGTGGGGTAGGGTTGGTGGGAGGGTGCACCCTTACTCCCCCTTCTCCCAGCCTTCTCTTCTCCCCCCTCCCTCCCCCCTCACCCCGCCCTCGCCTCCCCTCTCGGCATCCCACGCTACTACAACTCGACACCATCGCGACTTCCGGTTCCGACGCCTTCGCTCGGGCAAGGCGAGGGAAGAAAGGCGAAGCCTGAGGGGCGGGAGGGGGTGAGGGTGGAGAGGAGAAGCTAACGGGAGGGGCGAAGGGGGGAAGGAGGGGGAGGGTGGGAAGAAAAGTGACAAGGAGTTAAGGTAAGGGTGATGGATGCTACAATCGAGGAGAAAGCAGGAAAGACACGAGGAAGGTGGGAAGAGGGGAAGAGCGAGAGGAGAGGGAAAGGGAGGTGATGCGAAAAGAAAAGGAAGAGAGGAGGAGGAGGATAGGGTGGGGGAGGGGCAGGAAAAGGGGAACGGGAACCGAGTAGTTTCCTTGAGATGAGAAGCGGCGGATAGGTAGACTATGCACTGATGGGAGAATAAGTCTGTATATAATCAGATCGCCCACTATATGCGCGCATGCCGGGTAGGGAACACACTAATACTACACTTCCCATGGTGAGGGCAGATTATGACTATTACACTTTCCTTTTTTCCCTTTTCCTTTCTCTCTCACTTTTTTTCTTTCTCTTTTCCTTTCCTTTTCCTTTTCCCTTGCAGTTTTTCTTTCCCGTTCCTTTTCCATTGTTTGTTTACTCCCTCTATTTTTCTCCCTCCATCGTCGTCTCCCGCTCTCTTTACTTCTCTCTCCCTCTCCCTCTCTCTACCTATACCTCTGCCTCTCCCCCTTTACCTTTCTTTACCTCCTCCCCCCTCCCCCTCCTCCCTCTCTCCCTCTCCCATCCATCATCTCTTTATCTATAAACATATGTGCATGATCTCACACTCACGCGCTCACTCACGCCCTCACTTTCTCTCTTAACAGCGTCCTGCCCCACCCCCCCTTCTGCGGTGCCCTTGCACATGTGGCCTCGTATCTTAAAGCATTACATCCTCACGCGGTTCTGCTTACTCGCGCGACCCATTCTAAAAATAACTACGCCATTCCCTCCTACGATATGGAAACAAAACAGAAAAGTGGGGAAAATAAAAAAAATAAACTCAAAGGGGGGGAAGTGAAATGGAATAAAAACACAGGAAGGGAATAATAACAATAAATGGAATAAGTACCGAAAGAGAAAAATACGGACAGCAGAACAAATAAATATAAAGAGAGGAATATATCAAACAAGGAAAATTATTTCTGCGGAAGAGAAATAAGTACGTTAGGAAAAATCAAAGAGAAGTACATTTACCTAAAAAAAACAAAGTCAAAACCTACGCC